TTTCTGAGGTGTTAGGTGCATTTCGGGGGAAGGGTCCATAGACCCTCGTAATTGGCCATTTGGTTAGGTGATGGGGAGTTCGATATTATTTGTTAAATATAACAAAAAGTTGTGTGTCTGATTGGTCCAAATGCTACATGACTGATATAAAACCGATAGATTTTATACCACTCATGTATGGTGTATAATTTATTTTGTCTTGGGTGATCTTTATCCTCAGCGCTGTATATATCTGTATGTGAGAAATAAATCATACAGATAAACGCAACACAATAATAATAATAATAAAGAGAAAGTAAAATAAAAAACGATTTATTTTTAATAGGTACTGAGCATCGTCAACACAACGACAATAAGCTTTTAAATAATAACATATATAGAAGGTGTACAGTGTCATTCACTCAAACGCTAAACACCATGAAACTGAAATAATGCAATAAACATTCATTTAACAACATTAGGTGTAACACACAACCCTAATATACAAAACTGATAAGAAAAAACTAAGAAGAAACATAGTTATTTCAACAAAAAATGTAACGCAGGTAATTCTGGGAATGTTAATTTACGGTTATTCACTGTAAATTATACAGTATTTTTCACTTCCAAAAACGGTATACTACCGTAAAATTTATGTCCAATACATGTAGTGTCCAATACAGTTTTTCACCATATATAGTAGGGGAATTTACCGTTAACCATTTAACAGGTTTTTACTGTAGCATTTTTACAGTCTTTAACCGTTAAATTCACGGTCATTTTTTACAGTGTATATAATATAGCTGACAAAAAAAGTTTGTCTTGACTGATATAAAACCGATAGATTTTATACCACTCATGTATGGTGTATAATTTATTTCGTCTTGGGTGATCTTTATCCTCAGCGCTGTATATATCTGTATGTGAGAAATAAATCATACAGATAAACGCAACACAATAATAATAATAATAAAGAGAAAGTAAAATAAAAAACGATTTATTTTTAATAGGTACTGAGCATCGTCAACACAACGACAATTGATTGATTATTGACAATTGATTTAATACAGGGAATCTAACGTCAATATTCATTGCATTTTTATTACATTCATTTCATGTATATTGATGTATATATTATATCTGAGGATCCCAGTTTTTATTGGACATTAATCAAATATGAAATTCATTTTGTGGTTTTGTTTTGCAGTTTTTATAAAAATAGTCATGAACAATCAACTTGATACTAAAGTGTTAAGCATACTTTTTAAACCACCAACATGACCTAGACATGATCAGATTAGATAGATAGATAGTTTTCTGTTTTCTCTACTCTCCTTTGAATAAAAGGCCCATTTCTGAATGAAATTGTATCATGACCTCATAATGATGCGAAAACTCTGCTGTGATTCGTTTAGATTTTAGCCATGAAATGGATGATGTAGACCAGAATGACACTGAAGGAGATGCCCTGGATGCTTCTGAGACTGAAGGTAGCTGTCGTTCATCATAACACACTTCATGATTGTGTGCAGGCTCTGTGTGTTAACTGTGTCTCTCAGTCTGGTTAGGTGATGAAGGGATGGAGATAAAGAAGCAGATAACAGGCATGATGCGCTTGCTGAGTGACAAGACAGGACGAGTGTACCAGCGGGTTGGACGAGAGGGTGAGACCCTCAAACAGGAGCCTCAGGAGGAGGCTCTCAGCCTGCCTGTGGCTCAGAGCCCGGCCCCTGAACATCTCCAGTACGGCTGGAGCTCAGTCCTGATGACTCACGGGCAGTACGGCACCCGCTCCAAAACCCAGAGGATGCTCAATCACTCGAAAGCTAATGGTGAGTCTCTAAACAATGAAGCAATTTGATTACTTTCAGAAGGTTTGTTAAGCATGTTTTCGCTGTGTTCCTCACACTATGATTAGGCTATATTTATATGCAGTGGCCCCAAAACATATTTTGACATTGAAACCATGCTAAAAATGTTTGAATTTGAATGCAATGACAAAAATGCATTGCATTAGATGACAAATTGTCAAAATAAGTGGCATGTATTTTATAGAAATATAGCACACTTATCAAGCAAACATTTCAGAAACAAAGTTTGTTAGGTTTTAAATGATAACATTATATAGACGCTTTTATCCAAAGTAACTTCCATTGCAATCAAGTTAAAAGAAAGTTCAATCACTTCCTGGAAATTGAATCCATGACCTTGGCATTGCTATGGTTGTGCATTACAGAAATGCTCTTTTATTTATTTATGCAAAATACAGTTTTATGTTCAGTAACAAATATTTATGACCAGCACATTTTCTCAGTTTACCCATTTACTCAATTCACTTCATGAATTGAACACGTGTTTCATTATTATATCATAGCATCGTTTGGTTGCAGATGCCACTTGGTTGGACGATTTCAAAATCGAATGCAGTGAAATTGAAACATTGTAGTTATGACAAATTTGGATCACTGTATTTTTCCATTTGTTTATTTTATTTTTAATTTAATTTTATTTAATTTTATAAAATTTTCTTATTTAATTTTATTTTTTTATCACCTAGCTGTTTAGCAGTTTTTTTTATTTTATTTAAATTTTTATTATTTTAGTGCATTTATTTTATTTGATCATTTTAGTACATTTATTTTATTTTTCTTACCACTTAGTTTACCACTTTTTTTATTTAATTTAATTATTTTAGTGCATTGATTTTTATTATTGTATTACTTAGTTTAGCACTTTTTATTTAATTTTAGTTTATTTTAGTGCATTTACATTTTTTTTATCTCTTCACCTAGTTACTGCAGTTTATCATGAGGTTGGATGCCTTTAGTGGCACTGCTTTTTCTTTCTTTTGTTCTGGTATTAAACTCAGCAAAGCCATGCTTCTGCTTAAAGTGACTTCAGATAGAAGCATCTATGGATTCTTTCCAGGGGAAGTTGTATTATGTGACTGTGGGCTACAGAAAGATGTGCTGTCTGGCACTGCAGCAGCAAGTGTCTAGACAGCTCTGGATAACACAGCAAACACGTAACGTCTTCCTTCTGTATACACACAGAAAGACACAGTAACTCCCTCAGTGTCAGTCTGACACACACACACACACACACACACTGGAGTCAGCAAGTCAGACGGCTTTTATGCCTGGTGCTTGGAGCCTCTGGGTGTTAGACATCATCGTTGATGGCCGTTGTGTTGACGATGCATGTGTGTTCTGATTCAGACATGGCCTTGCCCCCTGCACCTGCTGCCATGGCAACTGAGCCCAGCTGCTGTATGTGCAACTGCAAAAGCACCCTGCAGGCCATTCTGCTGGAGTTACGTACCATGAGGAAACTATTCCAAAGTCAGAGAGGTAAATCAAACAGAACTACCCTCGAATTCCTCTGAACACAATTACAGCTGCATTGACCCGTGTACTGCTGCACTCTCAGGATGCCAGGACAAACAGGGCTCCCAGGTCTCACTCTCGTCCCGAACCTCCATCTCCAAGAGGAGGAGCCGAAAGAGGAGGCCGGGTCACAGAGTTACAGTTCTGACCACACCCACTAAAAGAATCACATCTCTGTCGCCACCCGCTGAGACCGATGCTGTTAATGAGTGCAATCAGTCAAGAGAGGACACACCCCCAACAGTGACATCATTTATCCCAGATCCCATTCCCAGTGCCAAGACTCCTTCCTCTCACTACAGCGTCACCAGAGGCCAAAGCACCACAGAGGTACACCACCGTACATGTGTGAATAGATTTGGTAATGAATTGGTAAATGAAGAAAAACTGCTCAACAAATGCTGAGTTAAAAACAACTCAGTGCTGGGTAAATTATGGACAAATCCCGGGATTGGGCTGTTTTGAGCCAGTGTTTAGGTTAAATGTTTAACCCAGCATTCTGGGTAGTTTTAATTAACTCAACTATATATATATATATATCATAGACTGTAAAAAAGATGGACGACTCGTCTCCACTTCCTTCCACTATAGAAAAGTGAAGCCAAAGCATCTCAGTATGACCGCGACCATCTTGAGTAAATGACGTGAATACTTAGGACCATGTGATATTTCAGTTTTTCTTTTTGAATAAAAAGACCCACTGTATATCAGCGTGACAACAACTACCTTAAATGATCAAAACCATCTTTCGGAAAATTTTATTGGAAGTGTAATTAATTTTTTTATTTTGACTCAAGTACCATTCGTTTACATGGAGAGGGCGGGGTTTATGACCTGTACTGCAGCCAGCCACCAGGGGGCAATCAAAGAGCCCCCTGGTGGCAGCTTCACTTTTCAGGACCTGTGAGGCACACCCAAGATATATATATATATATATACTTAGTGAGGTCAAACTATTAATCACGATTAATCGCATACAAAAAATAAAAGTTTTTGTGCATTATATATATGTACTATGCAAACAAAAACTTTTATTTTGGATATATATATATATATATATATATATATGTGTGTGTGTGTGTGATGAGTGCTATTAAAACAATGAATATATATAATTTAAGTGAAGTTATTTTATTATTTAGTTATTAATTATTGTAGTATTTATTAAAGTAATATATATTTATTCATATAATTTGTTTCAACCAATTAGTTCAACAGCACTGATTCATTCAGGAACAATTCAAACAGCTTTCTTTATCAATGAGTCATTAAATCGTTCTCTTAACCAAACACTATCTGTTGTTCGGTTCTGCTGCGGTTTTGTTCAGAACTATTTTCATTGGCAAGACAAAGGCAGAGAAAGTAATTGGTAATATTCTGTCTAAAATGTAAGAAACTCAATATTAATTGTTTAGTTTTCATTTTTGTATAAAAGCAATAGCACACAACACCACTGTTGCTTGAATGAAAAAAATAATAATAATAAATAAATATATATATATGCACTGAACAAAATTATAAACGCAACACTTTTGTTTTTGCCCCCCTTTTTCATGAGCTGAACTCAAAGATCTAAGACTTTTTCTATGTACACAAAAGGCCTAGTTCTCTCAAATATTGTTCACAAATCTGTCTAAATCTGTGTTAGTGAGCACTTCTCCTTTGCCGAGACAATCCATCCACCTCACAGGTGTGGCATATCAAGATGCTGATTAGACAGCATGATTATTGCACAGGTGTGCCTTAGGCTGGCCACAATAAAAGATGAATAAAACACACACACACACACACACACACACACACACACACACACATATATATATATATATATATAAACATCTCGGCAGCAAGCACCAATCCTCAAATTTGAATATTCTTTTTGTCATAGACTGTGATTTTAAAAGCTTGCATGATTAAATTCTTTAAAAAGAAGCATTCAGTGAGCTAGCCAGTAACTTAGTTTTATTTACTTGCCAAAGCACATTTTCACGCTTGGCAAGTTCTGATTTTGGACCGTGTTTGCAGCTGGCTATGTCTTTCTCTCTCAGCAGAATGAGTGAAGGTTAGAAACAACAGAAGGGCTTGAGTACATAAATATGGTTTCACAATTGTCTAGTTTGTGTTTATTCTGACAAGAGTGTGTATGTATGAGCATATGTCTCAGAAAATATTATTAATATGATCTACTTTAGTCTCACCTGACTAAAAGTGAAATCTTGGATTATTCAGTTGTTTGTGTGTTATTGTATGTGTTAATTCCGAAGTGCATGAGCGTGTATTAATTCCTTTTCCGAAGTGCATGAGCGTGTATTAATTCCTTTTATTAATATCCCGCCCGTCTGTCTCTCCCAGCCGGAGGTGCAGTTGGCCGAGGATTATGACATATTTATTCCTAAAGCACAGTTGGACTCTATCTTACTGAACTACACTCGCTCTGGCAGCCTGCTCTTCAGGAAACTGGTGTGTGCGTTCTTTGACGATACCACACTGGCAAACTCACTGCCCAACGGCAAGAGAAAGAGAGGTCTGAACGACACCAGGAAAGGACTCGATCAAAACATAGTCGGAGCCATTAAAGGTTTGTGAATGTAACTAAACCAGACCAGAACTTACACAACATCAGTGTACAGGAGAACGTTATTATGAAATTACTGCTATACATATAGTGGTACTAAAAAAGTATTTGGACACTTAAAAATGACACACTTGAAAATGTCATTGCATTAGATAGTAAATAATCAAACCATGTGGTGTTTATTTAAAATATTTTATTTGCCATTCAAAATATCTCACAGGAAGATGGATGTTAAGTTTTAAGAGATAAAACTCAAACTTAAATGTTCAGAAAAGTGTTAGTTTTGAGTAAAAAATAATGTAGCATTTGATTTGATATATTATAATAATGAATATATGAAATATATAAATACATGTTTATTTATTATTTGTGTACTTGCATTTCTTTGTAATTAATTGTGAAATTTATTATAATGGTGAAATGTGACCCTGGACCACAAAAGCAGTCTTAAGTCGCTGGGGGATATTTGTAGCATAGCCAAAAATACTTTGTATGGTTCAAAATTATCGATTTTACTTTTATACCAAAACTCATTAGTATATTAAGTAAAGATCATGTTCCATGAAGATATTTTGTAAATTTCCTACTGTAAATATATTAAAACTTAATTTTTGATTAGTAATATGTATTGCTAGGAACTTCATTTGGACAACTTTAAAGGCGATTTTTTCAATATTTAGATTTTTTTGCACCCTCAGATTCCAGATTTTCAAATAGTTGTATCTCGGCCAAATATTGTCCTATCCTAACAAAGCATACATCAATGGAAAGCTTAATTTAAAAAAAATGTACCCTTATGACTGGTTTTGTGGTCCAGGGTCACATATGTATTTATTATAAATATTAATTTATTATTATTATTATTACAAATAAATAAATGCACACTTAAAAGACAAAAATACTTAAAGAATAGGAAATGGATAACACATTTTTAAGGTTTTGATTGCTTCTTTGTTGACGGGTTTTAATTTTGTATCTACATTTGCTATTTATTATGTATTATTTTTATTATAGAAAATATTATTATTTGTTACTTGCATTTCTTTGTAATTAGTGAAATGTCAAAATTGTTTCTATACCATTTTTTTTTTCCAGTTTATATAAACTTTTAAATCTGTAATTTTTTACATGTATGTGTATGAATCTAGTGTTCACAGAAAAGTATTGCACAGCCAATGGAATTGAGAAGCTTCCTGGTCCCAGAGACTGGGTCCAGATTCTGCAAGACCAGATTAAACTTGCGCGTCGACGCTTAAAAAGAGGTGAGAACATGACAGAAAGAGAAATACATGCAGGGCAAGTGAAAAGAAAGAGAGGCAGTGGTGTCATACATTACCAAGGATTCGAAGTTGCAACAAAGCTGTTGCTTCATGATTGATGGTTTGCTAGATGAGTGCTATTAAAACAATGGATCGATCATTTAAATGTTAATTTAACAAATGCTTCAATGTCATAATAATTTGTTTCATTTATTTGTAATGATTTCCAGCAGAGACCGCCTCAGACAGTAATGATATTCAGCACAAAACAGGTACTCCGACCAAACCCACACACACAGCATGAATGAAAGCGCTTCAGATTGATGAGTGTCCTTCACCTCATGATATCCCAGCGTTCTTTATTAGAATGATACATTAAATAATATGCTAAAAAACTTCAGAGGACACATTCCATTGGAATATTATTGCCACTAGTATTTCTGTGTGCTATTTTTTCAGAGAAATGTCAGCAAACTGTTGATAAAGTGGAAACTGTGACGCAAAATGGTACTGCAATGCACATCCTTAATATTTCACTTCTAAAAAAGTGCCATTGTTCTAACGTAACCCTTTCTTCTGTACCGCAGGTGCTGCTTATGAGAGAACAGAATGTCTAGTGGCTATGGGCACTGCCTGAGAAGAGATTGTTTTCAACAAAACGCAACCTCCGACCCCCGCAAAGGAGTCATTTTTAATTGTTTTGTCCGTCTAGACCAGTGTTTCTCAACCCTGGTCCTGAGTGCTCCCCAGCACTGCACATTTTGTGTATCTCCCTAATCAAACACACCTGATTCAACTCATGAGCTCATTAGAAGAAACTCCAGGACCTGAAATGGGTGTCAGATAAGGGAGACATACAAAATGTGCAGTGTTGGGGGGCGCTCAGGACCAGGGTTGAGAAACACTGGTCTAGAGTGTAGCACGTATGGAGAGACGCGGCTTTGAAATTCTCACGGTCAGCCGTGCAACAGACAGAAAGTTTGTTTGGAAGGAAACAGCAGTGTTTTGCTGATCAATTAGTGTTCCAGACAGCTATGGACACACTTTTAGAACACAAGTATACTCTCATTTGATCATTTTAAAGTGGGTCGTCCGTCCCAGATGTCACTAGTTGTCTTCGATGAATATTTGGAAGTGTTTGTAGTTTTTCGGCTTCATCCAAATGCTTCACCAAGAAATATCAGCAGGACTGCTGAGAAAACATGACTGTGCCTTTAATTCACTCTGCCATGCCAAGCAACTGATGTCATTTCACGATTGTGCTGTTTATTGACACTTTCTGGTGAAATATGTCGCATTTTCTGTATTAATAGTACTTAATGTCATATTCGCTGCACATAATGTGTTGTTGGTTATATAATCTGGCAGATGGTTATGTAGACCTGTAACTGTTTGACTTCCTGTGTAAGAGGATTTAGTGTCTATTGAATGTGTACAAATGAGTGAATATGAACATTGTCCTGTGTCTGTGTAACAAAGGGTTTTTACCTCACGGTCAAATGCTTGAATAACTATTCATGTTAATATCCGGGTTAAAGCTGTTTGGACAGCATCTGCAGGCTCGATTCCTGTCTCGTTTGTAAAAGCAATCCTAAAAACGCACATACGGAAATGCACTTGTACACCTGGCCCATAGACTTCCACTGTAAGTGCATAACTGTCAACTCAAACTGATGTTTGCTTTTATGAACTGAGATATGAGTCAAAGCGAATGCCGCTGATGCTGTTGATGGAGCTTAAATGGAAATATTCCTTTAAGAGCACAGGTGTTGTGTCTGTGCCTCCTTTTTTAATATTTTATTTATATGTTTTAAAAAAAAAGATCAACTTTATGTTTATTAGTGGAAAGTTGTTTAGTCCGAGACGTCAAATAAATATGGCTGTGTCTTTCATGCTTGACCTAAAAATGCGTCATTTTTATTGGTTTATTTGCTGGGCTTCATTAAACTTGTCTATTCTTTTATTTATCTAGTGTATTATACTTCATTATTCATTATAGTTTTTAAATGCTGAATGAGACTATTGGTACTAATTCAATTTGCCATAAAATTAGTAGGTAAACAGAACCATTACAACTACATTTTATTATATTTACAACTTCTTTTGAATGAACATTTTTAAGTTTAAACCTTTTAAGTTCTATATTAAAACTATACTTTTTAAAATTTTTATTTTTGCATTAACTAACATATTTTACGCTTACAGCAAAGTATCCATATTCAAAACGAAATATATATATATATAATTAAATGAAGTTTTCTGCTTTTTAACCTCACACTGATATAGATAAACAAACAAATAAATTCACACGTAGAAGACAAAATACTTAAGGAACAGAAAAGGGTAACACATTTCATTGAGAAGGGTCATTCTTGAGAAGTGGGACAAAACGGGGCAACATTGAAAAAAGAAAACCTTGTACTCAGATAAATGAAACTACATTTATGTATCTTATATGTACTAAGCTACTGAGCTATGCTTTGATACAACCTCCCAACTTTTCTCTTTTTAACAAAGTGCTTTTTTTTAGCTTGGACTGTGTAATATAATTTCAGCTTTATCTTTAACAGCATTCAAGATGCTTTTAACATTTCAAAACACTTGTTTGCTCTTGTTAGCAGACAGATTACACTTTCACATGTGACCAACAATTCCACAACAAATCTAAAATATCATAATGAACTATTATCAAAATATTAAACTGACGGAGGTGACAGAACTGACCGAGTTGACACATCTGACGGAGGTGACGAAAACCTGAATTTGTAATAATTTTAACTATCAAATACATTGAATCTGTCAATTACTGTATTAAAACAAACACAACAAACAGTGAGTATGTTATTGTTTATAAAGCTTTTATTCAAGAG